GTCGCTTTGCCGAAGCGGGTACGTCATGGACGTTCTTGCAGAGAGGCTGAATGAGGTCGTGCTTTGGCATGGGGACACGTTAGGGATCTGCTTATTGGAAAGCTCTTGACCTCCTAAAGAGGAATCCGCTGGGTTCACCTAGGCCTGCATGACTTCATTTAACCTTTTTCGTGAGCTTCAGATGGGTTTTCCAGCCTGGCACCACGGCGCGGGAGAGGCTGGTCGCTTGGACACAGGCTTGCCGTGCAGGTGAGCAGCCTTGGTGCTGCACGAGGGCCGGGGTGGGCGAGGGCATCAGCTCCCTGGTGCTTCTCACCCTTCCTTTGAGGTCTGGTTCCCCTTTTTTTCCCCCCATTTCTTTCCTCAAGCATTGCGCTGTGGTTCCTTTGTGGTTTCCCAGTGCAGGACTCGGATAAGGAGGGGTTTCTGCCTGGCGTTGCGAAGCAGTTTGGGGACCCTTCTCTGCCTTGTAGAGCAGAGCGAGAGGAGGCGCAGAGGATCCACCTTGCCGAGGCTCCCTGCACAGCGAGGGCAGCTTGGGCACAAAATGTCCTCTCTGCACCATTTCATGGCAACTGGGGCTGGGAATGGGCTGGGAATGGAAGGGAAGGTCCTTTTCCAAGGGAGTGTGAGTGCTATCTAATGTGAACAATCACTGAACAATGAGGTTATTTAAAACACAGATCGGTGAAGCACACCTACAGCTGCTCATCCACCCGCTAATTAGCAGCAAATGTAATTCATAATTGCATCACAACAGGCTGTTTTAAATGTCTGTGTCGGTGTGGTAATTATGGAGGGTAAAAGGAAGAGTGCTGTGGAGGGGCATTACCAGCTCTCCTGTGACAGCCGGTGCTGCGGCGCTGGACAGACTGAATCCCTTTTTGTATCAGGGAAGGGAAATTATTTGCATGGTGCCAGTTTGCCCAGTGGGCTGCGGTGGTCTTGGGGTGTTCACACTGCTCAGTAAACATATATGGAGTTTTATTCTACACCAAGCAAAAGAGGTGGTGAAAATGATTTGGTCTGTGGGTTTGTGCTGTGAAGAGGTACATGGTGTGCCTGTCCCCCCCTCTTGTGTGGCTGTTTTTAAACTCAGAACTGATTATAAACCGGCAAACCCGAGTGCTTTCTTGTTGGGCAAGACCTGCTGCGCAGCACGAGCCCACAAGCAGTCGATAGCACGGCCGATGGAGCCGCATGGCAGAGACGCAAGGACCAAGTTATTCGATATCGATGCCGAGTGTCATTGTGAAACCTGGCTTTTGTATTAACCTGCTTGATTGCAATTAGAGGCAGTCAGGCACCCGGTGTGGGACTCCACCCTGAGATGGTATTTGACAGCCAGAGCCGGACTGCAGGAGCTGCTGAAAGAGGTTCTTCCGCCTGGAATAAAACTCGTGCGGGCTCTCCCGCGCCCTCCCTGCTCTTCGCTGCCCTGCTCTGGGGATATCGGGTGTCTCCTGCAGTTTCGGCTCATCTTGTCACGACGGCTCCTCCGTAGCTGCTCGGAGGCGGCTGCGGCGGGGGAGTGCTTGTCGCTCTCCCTCTAGTTGGAAACAGAGACATCGCAGCTTGCTGAGGTCTCTGTTGATCTGCAGACCTGATGGTTGAGTTTTCTTTTAATAACTTACTTTGCTTAGTGCAGCACTCTGTGACACCTTGGGTGGCAGACAGCATGTAGAGTACATTCCTAAGAGCAATTCAGGGGAGGGATATATGTACCCTCAGCAAGTTTGCTGATGACACCAAACTGGGAGGAGTGGTAGATACACCAGCAGGCTGTGCTGCCATTCAGCGTGACCTGGGCAGGCTGGAAAGTTGGGCAGAGAGGAACCTGATGAGGTTCAACAAGGGCAAATGCAGGGTCCTGCACCTGGGGAGGA